CTGGGATTACAGGCGTGAGCCACCACACCTGGCCAAATATTCTGTTTGAACTAACGTTGCTGGCATAATAACCTCTGATCACGTTTATTTGTAAAGCTGCTTTTTTCTCTCAAATCCAATTTCTTACAACATTTGATGCCAGTCTTTTTAAACAGGTCCGGGTCCTGAAAGGTATCCAAATTATCAGATCACTTTAAAGTGTGAAGCAGGCTTTTTGATTCCTTGTTTCATGAGGGTGTAAAGATGCGTATCTTCTAATGATAGCGAGCAGCACGTAGATTTCAGTATCTTTTAAATTTTTTATTATTTATTTTAGAGACAGGGTATCTTTCTGTCACTCAGGCTGGAGTGTGGTGGGACAGTCATAACTCACTTCAGCCTCGACCTCTCTGGCTTGAGATCCTCCTGCCTCAGCCTCCCTACTAGCAGGAACTACAAGTGGGCACTGCCACGCTCAGCAATTTTCATATCTTGATGATGGGGCTTTATTATTGAAATTGACTATAATGAAATAGAAAAAAATTCTTCCTAAAAATGTATACCAGTGGTCTAAAAGTTTTAGAATAAACACTATGTTAATAAAAGGTGAATATATGCCTTGATATCAATTATGCACTTACTACATTATTAATATGCATATTGCTAAACAAAAGAAACTAAAAAGGGCATCCAAGTGCTATTTAGGGGCAGGACGTGATGGCTCACGCCTGTAATGCCAGCACTTTGGGAGGCCGGGGCGGGCGAATCACAAGGTCAGGAGCTTGAGACCATCATGGCAAACGTGGTGAAACCTCGTCTCTACTAAAGATAGAAAAATTAGCTGGGCATGGTTGTGAGTGGCTGTAATCCCAGCTACTCGGGGGAATTGCTAGAACCAGGGAGTGCGAGGTTGCTGTGAGCCGAGATCGCACCATTGCCCTCCAGCCTGGCGACAGATCATGAGTGGGTCTTAAAAAACAAAGAGCTCTTTATTTCCCATATACCAATAATTCATCTGTACCACCTCCACCATCACCCCGGCTGCACAGCCCCGTACTTGGAGGGCAGTGCTCTTGACTTCGCTGAAAAGAACGACTTGGGTGAGAAGAGGGAGAAAAGTGTCGTTCAGAGAGCGACTTCCGTTCTTGTTCCCACCCTCCTCGCCCCATGTGTGTTTCATCCAACCTCTTCTAATGCTCAGACACTTGTGAACGATGGTGTTGGTGACTCGCTGTGCAAGGGGTGCGGAGTTTGGTGGCTTGATGAAGGTTGTGGCAAGTGTGTGTCCACGCTGGAATCAGAGCCCACTTTAGTCTAACTTCATCAGTGACACATGATGCTTTCCGCAACCTGTGAACTTTGACAAAAATCTGAACTTTGTTTGCTCAGGATTTCCGCTAAAGCCAGCCCGTTCCTTTTGCTGAGGGTATTCTTTCTAGTGAAAACAGAGAGGGCTTGTCCCAGTGCTGTAATAGGTGAGGTGAAGGTGACCTCCTAATTCTGCTGGGATTGTTAGGAGGATTATCTTCCTTACGAAAAAGTGGAAGCAGAGTGAGCATGCTCAGTTCGGATAAGCATGCACTGACACACAAGAACACATGGGTAACTGTGCCGTCATGAGGTCGACCGTCACGTTTGAGTCTTAAGTTTTAATGCTTTCTTAAGCAGGGGAAAAGCAGGTGAACATGACTCCTGGACCTCTCAGAGCTGCGGGAAGCAATCCAGTGAAAGTGAAGCCCCGGCTTCTAATGGAGCAGCCTTGGAGAAAAGGACCCGGAGAGAAGCCACAACTTCCGGATGAGTGATAACACTGGGGCCACAAGCAGCTCGTCCTACTCCCACTGCTCCTGTCCTGCATGGAGGAGGTGGCAGTCTTCCGCCGAAGAATTGGTCCAAAGTAACAAATACAGCCGTGTTTGGCACCAGCCATGCTCATCCCACCCAGAAGCCGAGAGTATGCCAGCCTGGGACCAGTGGCAAAGGGAATGTGGCTAGCAAATGGGATAGGACTGGTTTTATTTTGTTCTTTTTTGAGATGGAGTCTTGCTGTGTTGCCCAGGCTGGAGTGCAGTGGCACGATCTTGGCTCACTACAACCTCCGCCTACAGGTTCAGGCAATTTCCAGCTGATTTTTGTATTTTTAGTAGAGACGGGGTTTCACCATGTTGGCCAGGCTGGTCTCAAACTCCTGACCTCAAGTGATCCACCTGCCTCAGCCTCCCAAAGTGCTAGGGTTACAGGCATGAGCTAAAAACAGTACAGAATGTTTTTGTACTGTTAAAAGTTCATGAAATGCCTCATGAAAACCATCACTCACTCATTCATAATAATATTTATTATTTGACAGTAAAAAAAATCACATTTCTTCAGAATTTTTATTTTAATGAAAAGCTTTCCTATGAAAAATCTGACTGTCTTATGGCCAGGTACAGTGGCTCACGCCTGTAATCCCAGCACACTTGAACCCAGGAGGTGGAGGTTGCTGTGAGCTGAGATCGCGCCATTGCACTCCAGCTTGGACAACAAGAGAGAAACTCCGTCTCAAAAAAAGAAAGAAAGAAAAAGAAAAATCTGACTATCATAAAATGATCTGTGTTCCTTGTAATGTGATTACTCTAGCCCTATAAAAGTATCTCGTGATAAATTATCTTACAAATTTGAGGCAGCTTTTTCATAAATTGGCAAGACATCTGGTTAACATTTAATAAGGACAAATCAGTATAATAAGGACATAGGAAATTTGGCACCAGATTCAAATCCCATATTTGCATTTTCCAAACCCAGTGCTCTTGGTCAGTTACTTAATCTGTGACCTAACCTCTCTGTCATCTGTTTTACCAGCTGTAGATGAGCCTCACAGGGCTTCGGGATACATCATAGTAGATAAAAGTTTAGCACACATTTCATACTGTTATTACAATTATCTTAAAATACTGAATCTTCTAGAATTAATAATTTAATTATTAATAAATAAATATTTAATACTAAAACGGGCTTTAATAAGTGTTTAAGTATTTATTTAATAATAAGACAGGCTTTGAGAGACTTCAAAACTTCACAATAGGCTTGATGTTTATTTTCCCTTTGATTCCAAGATTTCATAGTTCTCTTGTCAAGAGTTGTGGTAACGACAGAGGATCTGACACCATCTTCAAGACGTCGGCTGTACCCAGGCTTAGAAGAGAAAGGAGGATTGGATTAGAAAAAGAAGAGAAGGAAGGGAGGATGGACTGGCCCTGGAGGGGAGGGGTGCACGGGAATAAATGTAATCTGTTCGAAGAAAGCTGGGAATTGGGTTTTGGAAAAGAAAGTGGGTGTGAGTAATCATTTGAGAGGATTCCAGCCCTTTGGGAGGCCGAGGAGGGTGGAGCACCTTAGATCAGAATTTTGGGATCAGCCCGGCCAACAAGGTGAAACCCCCTCTCTACTAAAACTACAGAAATTAGCCTGGCGTGGCAGTGCGCCTTTAATCCCAGCTACTTGGGAGGCTGAGATGGGAGAATCGCTTGAACACGGGAGGCTGAGGCTGCAGTGACGGAGATGGAGCCACTGCACTCCAGCCTGGGCAACAGACTGAGACCCCAGCCCCCGTCTCAAAAAAACTAAAAAGCAGGGCGCAGTGGCTCACACCTGTAATCCCAGCACTTAGAGAGGCCGAGACAGGCGGATCACCTGAGGCCAGGAGTTTGAGACCAGTCTGGCCAACGTGGCGAAACCCTGTCTCTACTAAAAACACAATAAAAAAAATTAGCCGGGCGTGGTGGCAGTCGCCTGTAATTCCAGCTACTCAGGAGCCCCAGGCAGGAGAATCGCTGGGCGGAGGTTGCAGTGAGCTGAGCTTGCACCACTGCCCGCCAGCCGGAGGGACAGAGTGAGACTCTGCCGGAAAAAAAAAAAAGAAAAAAAAAGAAAGAAAGAAAGGATGTACTTGAGATTGCATAACGTAGAAACAGGTTCTGAAAGATCAGATAAGCCAAGGAGAAGAATTCTCATTATCCTGTCAGCAGTGTTTTTTTTTTAAAAAAAAAAACAACAACTCACTGGTTTGATTAGCAGGGAATTGATGGACCGATGCAATAAAAACCGTCAGGGACAAAACTATGAAATTTAGAAAGCGATGAAGAGTGCTTCCTCCCTCACTGAGGCCGAATACCACATGTGAATGATCCAGGATTCTTCCCTACCTCCCAATGTGCGAATTCCTCAGGCAGGTACCCACTGTTGCTTCCCTATCTCCAGATAATGGAATGAACACTTCCTTCAGCACACGTTCTAGAAACTAACAAGTCAGGGATTATTTTCTACTGAGGAAAAAACACATTCCTGAGTATTAGCCTGAAGGCTTCTTTCCTGTGAAATTGTCCATATACACTAGATTCATTAAGAAAAAAACAGCAGCCTTGAGGAGCTGGTTGTTAGGCGCTGTACTTGGCACTGGAGTTAAAACAAGACATTCATCCAGCCAGGGTCAGGGCTAGTCCGCATTTTCTGGAGTCTATTAAAAATGTAAACTACAGAGCCCATCCTACATTTGTGGAACCAGAGCCCCTGTGAAGCGCCTTCCGTTTTAATAAATTCAGGCGATTCCAATGCTTAAGGACAGTTTGGTGAGCCCTGTCCCAGATTAACTGTGTGAATATGATAAGAAACTTCACAAATGCCTTCCTGATGGTGTGAGGGCGGGGCTGAGGGAGGAACTGAACAGATAAAATCTCTGCAGTCTCCACTGTTCCAGCTTTTTCCCTAGAGGAAATACTTTGGCCAGGCGTGGTGACTCATTCCTGTAATCCCAGCACTTTGGGAGGCTGAGGCAGGCAGATTGCTTGAGCCCAGGAGTTCAAGACCAGCCTGGGTAAACATACTGAAAACCCATCTCTCCAAAAAATACAAAAATTAGCCGGGTGTGGCCATACGGCACCTGTAAGTCCCAGCCACTCAGGAGGTCAAGGTGGGAGTTCAAGGCTGCAGTGAGCCGAGTGACAGAGCAAGACCCTGTCTCAAAGAAAAAGAAAGAAACCCATAATACCCAGGATTGCTACGAAGAAAGTAAGTGAGCTTTCCTCTACAGCGCATTTTCTTAATAACTGCTTCTGTAAATTTCTCATCTTGATCTTAGAATCTATGTGTGTGTACAGCAAGTTGGTGCTAAAGAAAAAAAAAAAAAAGAATCTATACACACACATAGATTCGCTCTCTCTCTCTTTTTTTTTTTTTTTTTTGCTATCTGTGTGTTATCAGGAAAAAGCCAGAGCAAAGAAAAAAAAAATTAGGAAAAACTAAGTAAGGGTTGACAACATTCTGAGGACTTCATTCTTCAACTCTCCTTCCTGTTTCTGTAAAAATGTTTAGTCTCTGCCCTTCTCTCATTGCACCTTAAATTCTTACTGGTTTGACATAAAATTTCTTTTAAAGTATTTATTGTGCATCTACTGTGTCAGATTACTGACACTTAAATTCTTAAATACTTAAGAAATTATATTCTGCCCTGACACTTAAATTTTTAAATACTTAAATTCTTACTGGTTTGACATAAAATCTTTTAAAGTATTTATTGTGCATCTACTGTGTAGACTCGGGGCATCGAAGGAATTTTGTTTCCTATGAATGGAGAGTGACTCACGAGTAAATTTGCTCCTAGGATGGTAAAATCATTCAGCTACAAAGAAAATAAATCGGGAAATGAGAGGCAGGACGGTATTTCAAGTGGAGTCGTGATGGAAAGGTTTCGCTTTGGGAGGACGTTTGAGCTGAGACCTGAAGAGAAGAAAGAAGAGGCAGCCAGAATTACAAAAATGAGCCAAGAGCTTCGTCAGCCTTGGAAGGGGGAAGGGCTGTGATGAATTTCTGCAACTGGAATTGACAGTGACGGGGGAAAGCTACAGAGAGGTCAGGTGAAGCCAGGAGCCCAGATTGTACAGGCCGGGGTTAGCCACACGGATCTTACCGTACATGCGGTAGAAAGTGGTTTTGGTTTTAAAGCAGCATTCTGGCGTTTGAGCGGAGAGGAGCTGGAGACGGGCGGGGAGGCCAGGGCAGAATATAAATTTGGAAAACAATAGTTGAGCTGGTGAAAGGAAGGCTGAAACGGTGGCTCTAAAGGAGTGAGTTTTGGGGAAGAGAGGCATTGGGTTGAGATCCGGAGCGGCTTTAGCTATGTTAATGTTGGGTGCTCCTTACACATTCGATTGCAAAAATGTTGAGAATTGGGCAGGAGTTTGAGATCGGAAAGTCGTACTTAAATCTTAAGAAATGAGTAAGATTACCTAGGGGGACCAGGACTGGGGGACACAACGGAACCTTGAAGCACCCCAAGACTGAGAGGTTCAGAGGCTGTCGAACCGGAAGAGGCCTTGGGGAACAAGACCAGTCAAGTTAGAGGAATGCGAGCTGCACACAGGTGAGAGAAGGAATTCCGGGAGGAAGAGTGGTCGTCCGCTGTGTTTGCTGCTGAGGGCTGGAGGAAAACTTCAGGAAAGTTTGAATTGGTGAATTTCTTTGTTTCGGTGACTTGGAGTCACCTCAGACATGTGCAGGGACATGACACATGGGAAACTCCCAGGGATTTCAAAGACCTAAGCAGAACCAAGAAATGAGAGCACATTCAAAGACAAGGAGAAAGTGTTTGCAACGCGTATAATTTACAAAGGAACTTGGATCTGTAAACTATCTCTTAAAATGGACCCTTCCCCCAAAAAAGGCCGAAAAGCCGGATGGAATAAGCTGGGAAAGAGGCTTGAACGTAGAGTTTGCAGCAAAATAAATGAAAATGGTTTCTGAGCATCTGAAAATAAAAGGTTTAGACATATTAATAACAGAACAGATGGAAGTTGAAAATGTATGAACATACTACTTCTCACCCGGCCGGTGGGCAATGATCCAACAGTTTAACATCTTTTTAATCTGTGGCTTGGAGTGCAAAATCGTACAACTTTCGTGCTTGGGCAACTGACAAAATATATCAAAACTGTGGATACATTCATCCGCAATCCCATTTGTGGGAAATATGCCTTTTCAGGCCAAGATTCTCAACGTTTTGAAATCAGTACTCTTTTTTTCCCCCAGAAAAATCACATTTTATTATTATTCATTAACTGCATAGTACCAGTCTAGAATCCTTTCTTTTACATTTTACCACATACTGTTTGTTCGCCTCCTCACGTGGCATTCCTTTTTTTTAGGCTGTAATTTCTGGGGTACACGTGCAGGTTTGTTACACAGGCACACACGTGCCCGCCTCTGCGTTAGGCATTTCTCCGGCTCTCCCGCCCCCCGGGGAAATCCGCTCTCCTTTGCCCTCATTATCGACGGAGGTCCCAACAAGCTCTTGCTTATGAGCGTTCGTGCCTGCGTTTACTGTATTAGAAATTTAAAACTGCCTTTTATAAGTATTCATTTAAAAGAATAGAAACGTTTTTCTGAAATTTTTTTCCGAGCTAAGTGGCTTCGTGATTAGAGAAAGCCGAAATTACGGACTCAAGAGTTGGCATTGGGGCCCCTTCTGCCAGAGGTGGGCACCGCGCGGGCCCCGTAGCCCGGCCGCTCCTCCTCCCTCGTTTGGCCTGTCGCCGGCCCAGCGCGGGCCGCGAACCCACGGACTCCCCACCAGGCCTGCGGCCGCCCCTCCAGAGCCGTGGTCAGGGGGTCGGGAGGCCTGACCCGCCAGGGGCGCGCGTGCCCGGGGCAGGGCGGACCCTCTGAGCGCCGCCTGGCCTCCCCCGGGCCGCAGTCTCCCACGGCTGTCGCTCCCACGCGGACACAGAGCCACGCCCGCTCCGGGCGCAGTCACAGGGAGGGGCCGGCGCGCTCGTCCACCTCCGGCTGCGCGTGGTGGCGCTCCCGAGTTTTATTCGGAGACAAACTGGCCTCGAGCAGGGCGCGCGGGCTCATCCCCGCAGGTCCGACTGATCTCCCCTCGGTGGCTCCAGCGTTCGTGCTGCTGCCATGTGCTCTGACCCCCCGCGTTCCTGGCCCTCACAGCAGCCGAGTGGGAGGTCGTGGAGGCCTGAGCCCGAGAGCCTGCAGAGAGCTGCGGCGCCGCCACTCTGCTCCAGACCCCGTCTCTGAAAGGGAAAGTATTTTAATAACTTTTTCCAATAATTGTGTATGTGTGTGTGTGTGTGTGTGTGTGTGTGTGTTTTCTTAGAGTCGGGATTTCTCTAGGTTGGTCAGGCTGGTCTCGAGCTGCCGACCTCAGGTGATCCACCCACCTCGGCCTTCCAAAGTGCTGGGATTACAGGCGTGAGCCACCGTACCTGGCCAGTTGAGGGTTTTTTTTCTGTAATTCTACCAATTAACTTCTTTTTTCTGTTTGTTTTTGAGACTAAGTCTCACTTTGTCTCCCAGGCTGGAGTGCAGTGGCACCATCTTGCTCACTGCAACCTCTGCCTCCCAGGTTCCAGCGATTCTCCTGCCTCAGCCTCCTCAGTAGCTGGGATTTTAGGTGCCTGCTGCCTCCACCGGCTAATTTTTTTTTTTTTTTTTTTTTTTTTTTTTGTAGTTTTTAGTAGAGGCTGGGTTTCACCACGCTGGCCAGGCTAGTCCTGAACACCTGACCTCATGATCCACCCGTGTGGGCCTCCCAAAGTGCTGGGATTACAGGCGTAAGCCACCTCACCCTGCCTCTGCCAGTGAACTTTCGTACTCTGTTACCTCACCCTAGTCCTGGAGTTCCTTCGATAATTAGCACTGTGCCTTTTGAGCACTTTTTTCTCCTAAATGACTTATGGGTGAGTGCTGTGCCATGCTATTGCTTGTAATTAATTTTCCGCCTATTGCTCAAGATTGTCAGAAGACCTGAGGGAGCCCCTCTGATCTTAGAACACTGGCCTAACTCTATCTGTTCCCCAAGCAGGAAGCTGCCAGCGGTTGGTTGGATTTGAGGAGTCTGGAGCACTGACCCACTCTGTCTGCATGGACTGTTTCCGTGGATCTTGTGGACTCTGAAGTTGCCAAGTGTGTGTGCCTGCTCCAGAAAACAAGCCACCATTTTCCCACCCTTCAGAGTGCGGGGAAGTATCTTACAGCAGAAGCAAACAGTCCAGTCTTCAACTAGGGACACCTACCAGGATGTTCAAAAGGCTCAGCCCTCAGTCACAGCACTGCATCGCAGAAGACGCCTATTGTGAAACTCACCTGGAACAAACACAGCTGTTCTGTGATACTGACCAGATCACACTCTGCAGCAAATGCGTCCAGTCCGAGGACCATCAGCATCACAGGGTGTGTGGGATACAAGAAGCTGCTGAGAATTATGGGGTAAGATTCACGCCAATCCCAGGACACTCTGGCCAACTCCTATACTGACGAAATGGACAGACATTCTGGCGCTCCAAAACCATAACTTTAGTTGATGTTGTTAAGGAATGTTAGATGAGTTCCATATTCATTGAAACTTCAACCTAAAGGCTAAGAAAATATATACTCTGACTTGTTGGCTTTTTAGTTGTCTGAGGTTAGGAATCCAACTGTTAAATCAGTGATCTCACCTGGAATTCTGTGCTTTCTCTATAGAAGTTATTCCAGGAAACACTGAACACACTGAGGGAGAAGCTTGAAGCAGCTAAAAGCATACTGACTGATGAGCAAGAAAGAATGGTGATGATTCAGGTCTGTGTTTACTCGATTCTTGGGGGAAAATTACCAGTCATGTGGTTAGAAAATAGTGTATGGGCTGGGCACAGTGGCTCGCGCCTGTAATCCCAGCACTTTGGGAAGCCGAGGTGGGCAGATCACAAGGTCAGGAGTTTGAGACCAGCCTGACCAACATGGTGAAACTCTGTCTCTACTAAAAATACAAAAATCAGCAGGACATGGTGGCATGTGCCCCGGTAATCCCAGCTACTCAGGAGGCTGAGGCAGGAGAAACTTGAACTGTAGAGGTGGAGGTTGCAGTGAGTCGAGATCATGCCACTGCACTCCAGCCTGGGTGACAGAGCAAGATTCCATCTCAAAAAAAAAAGAAAAGAAAAGAAAAGAAAACAAGCAGAGAGAGAAAATAGTGTAATATAAACAAAGTCCAAAGACAAATTGCAAAGGAGAAAAATCATTTGAAATCTCTAGGAAGGAAAAGTGCCAATATCTTAATGTGTATACAGCTCTTTAGTAAGAGGCCAGATGTGGTGCCTCATGCCTATAATCCAAGCACTTACGGAGGCTGAGGACGGTGTATCACTTGATGTCAGGAGTTTGAGACCAGCCTGGCCAACATGAAAAACACCATCTCTACTAAAAAGACACAAATTAGGCTGCACATGGGGGTTCATGCCTGTAATCTCAGCATTTTGGGAGGCCGAGGTGGGTGGATCACAAGGTCAGGAGATCGAGACCATCCTGGCTAACATACTGAAACCCTGTCTCTACTAAAAATACAAAAAATTAGCCAGGCATGGTGGTGCATGCCTTTAGTCCCTGCTACTCTGGAGACTGAGGCAGGAGAATCACTTGAACCCTGGAGAAGGAGGTGACAGTGAGCCAAAATCGTGACATTGCACTCCAACCTGGCGACAGAGCATGACTCCATCTCAAAAAAAGAAAAGAAAAAAAAAAAAATATATATATATATATATATATATATATGTATATACAACAAATTAACGGGGCAAGGTCACAGGAGCCTGTAATCCCAGCTACTCTGGAGGCTGAGGCCGAAGAAATGCTTGAACCGGGACGCGGAGGTTGCAGTAAGCCGAGATCATGCCACTGCACTCCAGTCTGGGCCACAGAGTGAGACACCGTCTCAAAAAAAAGTAAAAATAAAAAAAGTAAGAAAAAGACTAGAAACTTAATTTTTAAAAATGATCAAATAAGAGTTTGCAAAAAAGAAGGTAAATATATTTTAAATACATTAAAAGAATCTGAACTTCATTCATGAGGAGATAAATACAGATTAACTATATTGTGAGTAAAATGGCATTTGCAATGCTTATTTGCGATGGCGGAAAAAGGCGAAGGGCACGATTTATAGCAGTGGCACAGGAGAATGAGCACTCCTGTACTTTTGGTTACCACGTAAACTCCAAAATCCTTTAAAGAGCAATTTCAGAATTGCTATTCAAATCTGAGGGTTCACAACCCGTTAGGCACGTTTCACTTCTAATTTCAGACCGTAGCTTCATGCTTAATCCTATTCTGTGCAAGGTATCCCAGATTCTGGGTCTTTCCTCTCCCTCAATTTTTTCCCCCACGAGATAGGGTCTTGCTCTGTTACCCAGGCTGGAGTGCAGCGGCGTGATCTCGGCTCACTGGAATCTCCGTCTCCCAGGTTCAAGCAATTCTCCTGCCTCAGCCTCCCGAGTAGCAGGGATGACAGGCACCTGCCACCACACCTGGGGAATTTCGGTATTTTTAGTAGAGACAGGGTTTCATCATATTGGCCAGGCTGGTCTCCAACTCCGGACCTGGTGATCCGCCCACCTCAGCCTCCCAAAGTGCTGAGATTACAGGCATGAGCCACTGCACCCGGCCCTCTCCCTCAATTCTTAGAAGAAATAAATGCCTAGTTGGATTAGAGAGCGGAGGTCAGTTGCCTGGCTAGGTAAGAATTTTTCAGCTGAACCCCCTTATTTTTTCAGCCCCAAGCAAATAATGAGATCCCACTGTTTGCCAGGGACCATGCAAGGTGCTAGGGGCTCATCAGGGGAAAACCAAAAAGCAGTTCTTTCCTGGAACTTACATTCTAGTGGATGTACACAAAATAAGTTAAATATACCGAATGTTACCCAGGCAGTGTTTAAAAACGTTTTTTTTAAGTGAGAAAGGAAGCAATGGAGTGAGCTTTTAAATAAAGTGATCAGAACCTTGTTACTCAGAAGGCGGCACTGAAGGAGGTGGGGGACTTGGCCGGGCAGTGGTCCTGGGGAGGAATGCTCTAGGCGGCAGGAAGGGCAGCTGGGGAGGCCTCGGGGCTGCCAGGTGTCCGGCCGCGGCTGCTAAGGAAGTAGGGCTGTGGGCGTTGAGATCAGAAGGGGTCAGGCATTTGGGGAGGCTAGCCTTCAATGAAATACAAGGTTCAAAACCACTGGAAGGTTTTGAACAGAAGACTGATATCATTTATCTTCCATTTCATAGAAACATGCTAGCTGCCAAATAGACACTAAGATAGTAAAAGGAAGCCGGGCGCGGTGGCTCACGCCTGTAATCCCAGCACTTCGGGAGGCCGAGGTGGGCAGATCTTGAGGTCAGGAGATCGAGACCATCCTGGCAAACATGGTGAAACCCCGTCTCTACTCAAAATACAAAATTAGCTGGGCATGGTGGTGCGCGCCTGTAGTCCCAGCTGCTCGGGAGGCTGAGGCAGGAGAATTGCTTGAACCTGGGAGGTGAAGGTTTCAGTGAGCCGAGGTCACGCCACTGCACTCCAGCCTGGGCAACAATGCCAGACTCCATCTCAAAAAAAACCCCAAAAAACCAGAGGCGGAGAGACGGGCAGGACATGCAGTACTTAGGCAGAGATGGTGGTGAGATGGGGGCAGGTGGCGAGGTGGTGAGAAGTGGTCAGATCATTGTTATCAACGGTGTCATTAATCCTGATTTCACTCAATCTTGAATAGCTTAATAAGCCCTTATGATGGCTCATGCCTGTAATCCCAGCACTTTGGGAGTCAGATGCAGGCAGATCACGAGGTCAAGAGATCGAGACTAGCTTGGCCAATATGGTGAAACCCCATCTCTACTAAAAATACAAAATTAGCTGGGCATGGTGGCGGGCACCTGCAGTCCCAGCTGCTCAGAAGACTGAGGCTGGAGGATCACTTGAACCCAGGAGGTGGAGGTTCCAGTGAACCAAGATCGTGCCTTTGCACTCAAGACTGGGTGACAGAGCGACACTCCGTCTCAAAAAAAAAAAAAAAAAAAAAAAAATGGCTTAATGGAGATGCTCAAATAGGTATCCCTAGCCTGGGCTTCCAAATGGTAGTAGACTTCACGTCCAATTTCCTGCTTCTTATCTATACCTGGATACCTAAGTGATATCAATTCATCACATCCCAAACTCATGCACACTCCTCATTCCTGGAATCCAGCCCTTCCATAGATTCTCTCTCTATATTTTGGTAATTCCATTCTTCCAGTTGCTTCGTCTAAAATTTTCGGTGTCTTTATCCATGACTCCTTTTTTCCCACACTTCTTACCCAAGCGTCAGCAAATCCCATTGGCCCTTCTGCAGTGTCCTGGTCTCTGTGATAACAGAGGCTGTGGCTTCCGTAGTTTCTCCTTATTGATGAACATTTCTTCATCTGCATTTTATGTTCTAAAATTGCGTTGGTGTCTTGGCTGATGTTGATTCAAATGCCATTCATCCTTCGGATATATTCCTTTTCTTTCTTCTATAGTATGTATTTCCCCGTCTTTATGTTGGGATTAGAGATGGAAAGAATGTATTGTGGTCAATATAAGATATATGTATATAAGTATTATAATGTGTGTGTGTGTGTGTGTGTGTGTGTGTGTGGCTTTAATCTATCATGTGTAACTTGAAATCTATCATGTCTATATCTATGAGGAAGGAAGAGGAACAAAATTTTAAAAAGATGATTGAGTCTGAGTATAATATGAGACTCCGGTTGTTGAATGAAGAGCGTGAGCTGAATCCCCACGGACGGCAAGGGTGCATAGCTGACTTGAACTTGAGAGAAGCTCGTCTGAATCAAGTGATGAAGCTTGCCACAGAGCTAGAGGAGAAGTTCCAGGAAATGTTACAGGTGAGATGTTAAAAACAACATCCTCAGAATATTTGAGAAATGAGAAAAAGAAGAGCTGAACATTATGTCAGTTTCAGAATCACATATCCAGTGCACACACATCTGTCTCAGCTTAAACATACGTAATAGGTGTCAAAGAGTCATGTGTCTCTTGAGAGGTATCCTGCTTCAGCAGAAGAATATCATGGCCTTGCCTAATTATGTCTGTTTCTGGGGTGGCAGGCAGGACAGCAAGTCTGGGTTGTTTTGTTTTGTTTTGTTTTGTTTTGGTGGAGTTTCACGCTGTCACCCAGGCTGCAGTGCAGTGGCACGATCTTGGCTCACTGCAACCTCTGCTTCCTGAGTTCAGGCGATTCTTCTTCCTCAGCCTTCCAAGATAGCTAGGACTACAGGCGCGTGCCCCTACTCCCTGCTAATTTTTTTGTGTTTTTAGTAGAGATGGGGTTTCACCATCTTGTCCAGGTTGGTCTCGAACTCCTGACCTCATGATCTGCCTGCCTCAGCCTCCCAAATTGCTGGAATTACAGGCGTGAGCCACTGCGCCCAGCCCAGGATTGGGTATTGTTTTTGAGATGGAGTCTTGCTTTGTCGCCCAGGCTGGAGTGCAGTGGCACTATCTCAGCTCACTGCAACCTCCGTCTCCTGGGTTCAAGCAATTCTCCTGCCTCAGTCTCCTCCTCAGTAGCTGGGACTACAGGCACCTGTCAACATGCCCAGCTAATTTTTGTACTTTTAGTAGACACAGGGTTTCACCATGTTGGCCAGGCTGGTCTCAAATACCTGATCTCATGATCCGCCTGCCTTGGCCTCTTTAAGTGCTGAGATTACAGGCGTGAGCCACTGCGCCAAGCCGAAAAGCAGGTTTTTAAAGACATGTTGAATTAATCAGTAGGAGAAATGACTGAACTCTTGTTCCTGAACTTGAGGATGTTGAATAGTAACACAGAGATGCTTTTGCAGAGACTGGGCCACGTGGGGAGAGAGAACATGAAGAAGCTGAAGGAGAGCGAAGCCAGGGTTTCTGAGCACATCTGCAGCCTGCAGGTGCTCACCGCGGAGCTTGAGAAGAAGTGTGGGGACAGCACCTTAGCGTTGCTCAAGGTAAGATGCCGGGAAAGAGAAAATAAAATTCATTCCAGTGTTTGAGAAATGAGAAGTGGATAGTACTCATTAGGGGTTGCTGGCAGAACACAACATCCAGCGATCTTCAACCGCAAAAGAAGGCCACACAACTAATTTTCAGTTGCCAGAAGCATTAGGAATGGTGGTAACTTCATGTTATAGTGAGGAGCTATGTCATGGGATGAATTCTCACCTTAAAATTATCCGCAGTGTGTTAGGATTGAGATGTGACACAGTGTGGTTCATAATTGGTGAGTCACATTATGATACAACCATACCATAACGATATTCTGTAACCAAATAGTAAAACAGCTCTCTAGGCGCTAAAATAGTATCTTCAAGCACTCATTAAGTGAAAAAAGAAAGTTGCAGAACCTCTTTTTGTTTGATTTTTGAGTAATAAGTATATGTGTATATACGCACATATATACGTGTGTGCTTGCTAACATTCACAGACTTTCTGGCAAAAAAAATTAATACGTAGTCATCTGTGATCATCCTGAAACAAGGGTAATATTATCTGCTGTGGTCTGATGTTTGTGTCCCTCCAAAATACACATGTTGAAATCCTCTCCCCAAGGTGATGGTATTGAGAGGTGTGGCCTTTGGGTGGAGAGTGGCTCCTGGGGGCGGAGCCTCTGTGAATGAGATCAGGGCTCTTATGAAAGAGGCCGAGACAGACCTCCGCCCGCAGCCGTGGGAGGTTAGAGTGAGGTGCAGGCTACCGAGGAGGGTCGAGCCCTCCTGGACACTGAACCTTCCAGTACCTCGATCTTGAACTTCCTGGCCTCAGAACTGTGAGGAATGGCTTTGTGTTGTGAAGAAGCTACTCAGCCTATGGTAAGTGTTGCTGTCCAGTAGCATAGGTTGCCTTTTCAGAAAGTGGGTTACTATTTTTTTTTTTTTATGCAGAGTCTCTCTCTTTGCTCAGGCTGGCGTGCAGTGGCACCATCTCGGCTCACTGCAACCTCCACCTCCCGGGTTCAAGTGATTCTCCTGCCTCAGCCTCCTGAGTAGCTGGGATTACAGGCCTGCACCACCATGTCCAGCTAATTTTTGTGTTTTTTAAAGTAGAGACGATTTTACCATGTTGGTCAGAATGGTCTTGATCTCTTGACCTGGTGATCCACCCGCCTCGGCTTCCCAAAGTGCTGGGATTATAGGCATGAGCCAACACACCGATCCCCTACCATCTTTTCAAGACTGTCCATATCCCTCTGCTGGGCTTATAATTGCAAGTGAATGCACTCATCTGGAAAGTGTCTGCAGGTAAATCCTTAGGAAGCAGTTCAGTTCTTGAGCATGAGGCCAGGTGTGGCTCTGCCTAGCTCACACTGCCCTCGGCAGCCAGCAGCCCCTTCGCCTGCTCAACTCTGGCCACGCCCTGCGTGGAAAGCAAATAGATGCTCACCATCTGGAGACGGAGAAGTAAGCTGGCTGGGGGGTGAGGTATAGAAAACATTTCCCTTGGGAATACAGCAAAGTGATTTCATTGTTTTTCTGAGCTTTCCTATTTCCATGTTAGAATTTGTTCATCTGATAACTAGCATTATGAGGCTGAAGAAATGACATGGAAATTGAGTTTGCTGTAAGAGAGGATATTTTGGCCAGGTGAGGTGGCTCACGCCTGTAATCCCAGCACTTTGGGAGCCTGAGGCAGGCAGATCACTTGAGGTCAGGAGTTCAAGACCAGCCTGGCCAACATGGTGTAACCCTGTCTCCACTAAAAATACAAAAATTGGCTGGTCATGGTGGCATATGCCTGTAATCTCAGCTACTCGGCAGGCTGAGGCAGGAGAATCGCTTGAACCCAGGAGGTGGAGGTTGCAGTGAGCCGAGATTGTGCCACTGACCTCCAGGCTGGGCGACAGAGCAAGACTCGGTCTCAAGAAAAAAAAAAAGAGAGGATATTTTTCTCTGCACAGATTGCAAAAGACGGCTCAAAAACCCAGTAGTAACCTGATCTCTTTTCTTTCCCTTAGAATGCAAAGTACTCTTTGGAAAGGTGAGTTTTTGTTTTGCACACAATTGGGTCAGAATCAGAGTCCAGTAAGATGTTAATTGGGATAAGGAGATTGCATTTGCTGGTAGGCTGTAATGGGATCCATCCACTAGACCAGGGGGCCTGTGGTCTGTGCAGATGACTGAGGCTGTCCTTTCCCTTCAGGAGCAACTCACTGCTACTTGAGAATCTAGAACCTGCTCACATCACAGACCTGAGTTTATGCCACATAAGAGGACTGAGCAGCATGTTCAAAGTATTCCAAAGTAAGTAACAGGGCACTGTTCTGTATTTGAGAATCAGGTGACCATCCTGCCATAAATAAAAACAAATTCCAGTAATTAAAAATTTTTAGGCCGGTGCAGTGGTTCACAGCTGTAATCCCAGAACTTTGGGAGGCCAAGGCAGGCAGTCCACTTGAGGCCAGGAGTTCCAGACCAGCCTGACCAACATGGTGAAATTCCATCACTACCAAAAATATGAAAATTAGCCAGTTGTGGTGGCGCTTGCCTGTAGTCCCCGCCACTCAGGAGGCTGAGATGGGAGAATTGCCTGAACCCAGGAGATGGAGATTGCAGTGAGCTGAGATCACACCATGGCACTCCAGCCTGGGCAACAGAGCAAGACTCGGTCTAAAAATAAGTAAGTAAATAAATAAAAATTTTAAAAGACTGGAGCGCTTAATGTGTTATACATATTACATAAGGAATAAGAAAATAACTATGATCTTACATGGAAAGTTTTTCCCATGCACATTTTTTTTGTTTTGAGGTGGAGTTTTGCTCTTGTTGCCCAGGCTGGAGTGCAGTGGCGCCATCTTGGCTGACAGCAACCTCTTTCTCCCAGGTTCAAGCAAGTCTCCTGCCTCAGCCTCCCAAGTAGCTAGGATTACAGGCATGCGCCACCATACCCAGCTAATATTTTGCATTTTTAGTGAAGATGAGTTTTTTCATGTTGGTCAGGCTGGTCTTGAACTCCTGACCTCAGGTGATCGGCCCACCTTGGCTTCCCAAAGTGCTGGGGTTATAGGCATGAGCCTCAGCTCCCAGCTGCAAATTCCTTACCCGTTTCCCGGCCATGAGACGTGACTGCAGGCAGATTCTACTGCTTGAAAATTTAAAACTTCTAGGGGGAGAAATTCAGCATGTATAACAAAGGGTTTATATCTCCTGTCCTTCGAGCTTTGCGTTTTCCAGGCGTCCTATCCGTGGAATTGTACGGCGTGTGGCTCTTTGAGGCATAGCATATTGCACTTGAGATATAGAATATCCACGCTGCTGGCCCGGCGCAGTGGCTCTTTGGGAGGCCGAGGCAAGCGGATCACGAGGTTAAGAGATCGAGACCATCCTGGCCAACATGATGAAACCCCGGGTCTACTAAAAATACAAAAAAATCAGCCGGGTGTGGTGGCATGCGCCTGTGGTCCCAGCTACTCGGGAGGCTGAGGTGGAAGAATCGCTTGAACCCAGGAGGCGGAGGTTGCAGTGAGCCGAGATTGTGCCATTGCACTCCACGCTACGTGTATCAGTAGCTTGTTTCTTTTTATTGTTGCTAATACTCCATTATATAAATACACCATAATTTATTTATCCTTTGGCAATTTTATGGATAAGGGTTGTTTCCAACTCTGTGCTGTGAATATTAGCATGCAGATTTTTGTGTGGGCATGGCTTCAGAGTTGTTGATTGACTGTCTAAGAGTGGGATTGTCAAACTTGTTTTCCAAACTGCCTGTGCCATTTTGCCTTCCCACCAATAATGTGCGAAAGATTCAGTTACTTTATGTTCTCACCAGCATTTGGTATTGTCAGTTTGTTTTGCTATATCCAGTCCAATGCATAGTGGTATCTCATTTTAATTTGCATTTCCAGAATGACTAATGATGTTGAGCATATTTTCATATGTTTATTTTCCCTCTATTTCTACTTTGGTGAAATACATGTACAAACCCGTTTTTAAAATTGGGTTGTATGTTTCTTGTTGAGTTTTATAATTTCTTTATATATTCTGTTTGGCAGTCATTTATCATATATGTTTTGCAAGTATTTCTTCCCAGTCTGGTTTATTTCTCATTTTCCTAATAGTGTCTTTTGAAGTGTAGAGGTTTTGCATTTTGATGAAATTCAGTTTATCAGTTTTTTTATTTTATGATTTATGCTTTTTGTGTCCTATTTAAGAAATTTTGCCAAAGCCAATAAAGATTTCCTTCTAAAAGTTTTGTGATTTTAGGTTTTACAGGGTGGCCTGTGAACCATTGAGAGTTAATACCCATATATAGTTCACAGGATGCTGCCAACCCTCTTCTCCCCTGACTTCTTATTTATTTATTTATTTATTTATTTATTTATTTATTTTTAGAGACGGGATTGCACCATGTTGTCCAGGATGGTCTCTATCTCTTGACCTCACGATCTGCCCGCCTCAGCCTCCCAAAGTGCTGGGATTGCAGGCGTGAGCTACCACGCCCAGCCTTGTTTTTATTTTTTGACACATATGTATCCAGTCCATTAAATTTACTCAGCACCTTTGTTGAAAATCACCTGGCATATGTGGCCAGGTCTGTTTGTGTCTCTAATAGCTCTATTGATCGTTGACTCTGTCCGTTTGCCAATAGCACGTTGGCTTGATTGATACCTCTGTAGGAAGCCTTGAAAGCGGGTACTGTGCATTCTCCAAATTTATTCTTTTTCAAAATGGTTTTGACTACTGTAGGTTGTTTGCTTTTCCACATAAGCTTTGAAATCAGCTTGTTGGCGTCTTCAGAGCAGACTGCTGGGATTTTATCGATGCTACATTGAATCGTAGATCAATTCGGGAGCACTGACACCTTGACAGTATTTAGTGGTTTCAGTCCAGGAATACAGAATATCTCCATTTATTTAGGTCTTCAGTTTCTCTCATCAGTGTTTCGTCACCTTCAGCATACAAATGTTATGTGGATTTTGAGATGTATCCCTAAGTATTTTATGTTTTTTAGTGCTACTGTAAATGGTATTTTAAAATATCAGTTTCTAATTGACATTTCATTTATTTCTAGTTCATTACAAGTATATAGAAATGGAATTTTTTTATTGCTGACATTTGTAACCTATAACTATGCAAAACTCATTCATTAGACAGTGGATTTCTTATTTCTTTTTTTTTTTTTTAAGACGGAGGAGTCTCGCTCTGTTGTCCAGGCTGGAGTGCAATGGCACAATCTCAGCTCACTGCAGCCTCCACCTCCTGGGTTCAAGCAATTCTTATGCTTCACCTTGCCAGGTAGCTGGGACTGCAGTCATGTGCCACCAAGCCCAGCTAACTTTTGCATTTTTAATAGAAACGAGGTTTCACCATGCTGGCCAGGCTGATCTCAAACACCTGATCTCAAACGATAAACCTCAGCCTCCCAAAGTGCTGGGATTACAGGTGGGAGGCACCGTGCCCAGCCATAGACAGTGGATTTCTAAAAATAGATTATTCGGGATTTTCTACACAGTCATGCAGTATATATATGAGTATAGATAGCTTTATTTCTTCCTTTCCAACCTATAAGCCTTTTCTGTGTTTTTCTTGCCTTATTGTACTGGCTCAGACCTGCAATGTGTTGAATAGAAGTGGTGAGAGTAGACACTTGCTTATTCTTGATCTTAGGAAGTAAGAAAACATTAAGTCTTTCACTCTAAATTCTGATAGCTATAGGTTTTTATGGCTGCATTTCATCAAATTGAGGATGTTTCCCTTATTTCTTGTTTACTAAGAATTTTTATCATGAATGAATGTTGAATTTTTCAAGTTCTTTTTCTCTTGAGATATTCTTGTTTTTTCTTCTTCAACCATTTTTTTTTAAATGAGTCTCACTCTGTCTCCCAGGCTGGAGTGTAGTGGCATGATCTCGGCTCACTGCAACCTCTGCCTCCTGGATTCAAAAGATGCTCCTGCCTCAGCCTCTCAAGTAGCTGGGATTACAGGCATCTGCTATCACGCCTGGCTAATTTTTGTAATTTAGTAGAAACAGGGTTTCGCCATGTTGGCCAGGCTGGTCTTGAACTCCTGACCTCAGGTGATCTGTCCACCTTGGCCTCCCACAGTGCTGGGATTACAGGCATGAGTCACTGTGCCTGGCCGCAGCTGTGCATTTTTCCAGAGATAATTTGCATTTGTTTCGGACGGTCTACTGGAAGTGCTGAGTGTCAGACAATTTGTTTAAAATTCAAGACATATACAGCTTTTGAGACCACCCTAATAATGTGAATTGGACTGCCAATTCAGAGATTTAAGTTAATTTAATTTACTGCAGTCAAATAATAGAAATTAAGCTGGATTCCATGTTACAGAAAGTAGGAAATAAAGGCTTTCCTGGTTTATGGCTTAGACAACTAAAGCAATGAGGGAGCTCTTAACTGAGAAGCAGAGACTGCAGCAGCCTGCGGCTGAAGTTCCATTTTGAATGGATCATGTTTGAAATTCCTGTGTTTTGGCTGGGGGCAGTGGCTCACGCCTGCAATCCTAGCACTTTGGGAGGCTGAGGCAGGCAGATCACGAGGTCAGAAGATTGAGACCAACCTCCTGGCCAACATGATGAAACCCCGTTTCTACTAAAAATACAAAAAGAGCCAGCCACTGGTATTGCCTGCCTGTCATCCCAGCTACTCAGGAGGCTGAGGCAGGAGAATCCCCTCCCCTGCCCCTGGGAACCGCACACAGCTTCAGTTTTAAACACCCTCCCTGTTCTCTGTGTTTATGACTCACTCCATAAACAGTCAAATACCAGTTGGACAGAACACAGGAATTTCTTTCTTTTTTTTTTTCTTTTGAGACGGAGTCTCGCTCTGTTGCCAGGTTGGAGTGCAGTGGTGCAATCTCGGTTCATTGCAAACTCCACCTCCCAGGTTCAAGGGATTCTTCTGCCTGAGCCTCTGGAGTAGCTGGGATTATAGGCACCCGCCACCACACTCAGCTACTGTGTCTGTATTTTTAGTAGAGATGCGGTTTCACATGCTGGTCAGGCAGGTCTCGAACTCCTGACCTCATGATCTGCCCACCTTGGCCTCCCGAAGTGCTGGGATTACAGGTGTGAGCCACCACGCCCGTCCAGTTTGACAGTGTTTCTAAACCTTTCTTAGCCCATTCGTCTTTGTTTTATTCTTCCTGCTCAGGTAGACTGTGCCCCTTTCCATGTCTTAGGGACTTTTTTTCCCCCGTGAGGTCCCTATTGAAGTAAGGGTTAGAGGTTCCTTTTCCTGGACCCTCCCGAATTGCCTCTCCCGTATCTGTGCGTGGGAGCTGTGCCCACTCGGTGGGAAGCCCGCATGTTAGAAATCATGCCTCTGGCATTGGCGTCGGTCAACTCCTAGGTTAACGAGGGTTTTCTCTCCTGGTAGGACATTTAACTTTCGATCCTGAAACAGCCCATCCCTGCCTGGCCCTGTCTGAGGACCTGAGAACTGTGAGATTGAGAAATTCCCAGCAGGATGCACCTGGCAGCCCAGAAAGACTGAACTTCAGTGCCATGGTGCTGGGCACGGAACGCTTCACCTCGGGGAGACACTATTGGGAGGTGCACGTGGAAAAGGCGGCCAGCTGGCAGGTGGGCATATCCTACCATGCCACAGACGGATGGGGCAGCTCGCCCAGAGCCTCTGGAGAGAAAGTCCTACTCACAGGGTCGGTGATGGCCGCGGAGCCGACGCTCTGGGTCTTTCCCCCGTTGAAAAGGGTCTTTCTGGAAAAGCAGTTGCATACAGTTGGAGTTTTCCTTGACTACGAATATGGGCAGATATCATTCTACAATGTGACAGAGAGCTCCCTCATTTATAATTTCTCCCACCTCACCTTCCAAGGAGTTCTCAGGCCTGTGTTTTCCCTTTGTATCCCAAACGGAGACACAAGTTCAGACTCCCTCACCATCTCCCCCTAGGACGGTCCTTCTTGCGATGCCACCGTTAGCCCTTAATCTTGTACCTGCAGAATCCAAGACCACGAGAGACCAGAGAGTTTGAGAACAAGACTTTGAAAGAATGTTTGTAAACTAACCCAATAAAGAGTGTGTTCTAGGAGTTGCAGCCTGATTTGATATCTCAGAGCCTTTGCATTTGTCTGACTGTCCACTCCTGTGTGGCGGAGGAAGCTGCACTTGACCTGAATCATGAATGATTATAAAGGGAGACCCAACGCTAAGTAGAACAAACGCATATGCATCAGAGGGTTGGGGAATTAGAGAGGAAACATACTGTGGGGTGCGTAGAACTAGGTTAGGAGCTCGATGTATTTCTGAAACATTTGCAGAATCAGGTACAGTCAGGAATGAAAGCAGGGCTTGAGGAGTGAGTGTGCCACTGTGCAGAACAGAACGTCTCGTTACTGACAGTGACTATCAGGACTTTCTAAGATTTTCTTACTCCAAATAGAGAAGAATAACTTAATTTATCTGGCTATTTTATGTGGATAGGAAGAAGTTGTGGAAAATGTGAATATTTTAAAATTTTCTTTTCTTTTTCTGTTTATGAGACAGAGTTTTGCTCTTGTCGCCCAGCCTGGAGTTCAGTGATGTGATCTCGGCTCACTGCCTCAGACTTCCGAGTAGCTGAGATTACAGGTGCCCACCGCCATACCCGGTTTATTCTTGTGTTTTTAGTAGAGGCCAGGTTTCTCCATGTTGGCTAGGCTGGTCTCGAACTCCCGACCTCAAGTGATCCAACTGTCTCCGCCTCCCGAAGTGCTGGGATTACAGGTTTGAATCACCATTCCTGGTCTACTTCTCGTTCTGATAAGAGTAATTTGATGTATTAGAAGAAGCCTGGTAGGTGACGGTTTGAATCAGATAAGAAATACTAACTATGCCTGGTGTCTGCCTTCGTTCTCTATTCGGTGGTCTCCTGGCAAATGCTCTCCCTGACATCCTTGCTCAGGGATGGTTGTGTAATGCTGAGAAAAGTAGTATCTACATATGGACTTTTACATTTAAGTCTTACCATACTTTATCTCCTTTAATATTTTTAACAACCTATGAATATGCATTAATCTTATTACTCATATGTGGAAACTGATGCTCAGAGACCAGATTTGCTTTCTTTTTTGAGACGGAGATTCACTCTTGTTGCCCAGGCTGGAGTGCAGTGGTGCGATCTCAGCTCACCACAACCTGGGTTCAAGCGATTCTCCTGCCTCAGCCTCCTGAGTAGCTGGGGTTACAAGTGTGTGCCATCGCATCTGGCTAATGCTGTATTTTTAGTAGAGACGGGGTTTCTCCATGTTGACCAGGCTGGTCTTGAACTCCTGACCTCAGGTGATTCGCCCACCTCCGCCTCCCAAAGTGCTTGGATTACAGGTGTGAGTCACCGCACTCAACTCTGATTTGCTTTTTCTAAAGTTACATATCTGTTACATATCTGGTAACAAGGAGAAGAAGTTAAATCCAGACTGTCATTGGATCAAAGAGCAAGCTGTGCCTGACTTTTGTCGCACAGGCTTCTGTGGTCATGAGCATGGCTAGGTGGAAGAGTGGTCCAATTTTACTCCAATTTTCTAAAATTGCCACAGAAAATAGAAGCAGCATGTCATTTACTCTTCCCTCTGTGTAAGCTCGTGGAAGCCGGGTTCTAGGACAGGCAGAGTAGGTAGGAACAAAAGGCAAACGTCAGAAAATTGCCTCTGTTGACTCACAGGAGTCAAGGAAGATGTGGCGTCTTATTCATCTGTCTTTTGGGAAAAGAGTTTTGACCGTTTCGAATTCTCTAAATGTGCTTTTAAAATATGTGAACAAGTGTGTTTTGGTAAAGGTGTACACTGAAAAGTCACAGTGCGTCTACGTTAATCAGGAGGAATTGGGAGAAGGTGGCTCTGCTATGAAAAGTGAGGGTCAGGTTAGATGAGTGAGCTGGAAATGAGGTAATTATTTGAAACTTTTTTTTTTTTTGAGACGGAGTTCCACTCTTGTTACCCAGGCTGGAGTGCAATGGCGCTATCTCGGCTCACCGCAACCTCTGCCTCCTGGGTTCAGGCAATTCTCCTGCCTCAGCTTCCCGAGTAGCTGGGACTACAGGCACGCGCCACCATGCCCAGCTAATGTTTTGTATTTTTAGTAGAGACGGGGTTTCACCATGTTGACCAGGATGGTCTCTATCTCTTGACCTCGTGATCCACCAGCCTTGGCCTCCCAAAGTGCTGGGATTACAGGCGTGAGCCACCGCGCCCCGCCCCTATTTGAAACATTTTAAGAATTCAGAGCAATGGCTCTTAAACCCTTACCTAATTTTTTTAAGAAAAAGATAATGATAACTCATACAGGGAAATGTGAGATGATTTAGCAATAAGTGCATGGTTGATATTTAAAATCCAATCATGTCTCCATCTCTAGCTACTGCAAATTATAAACTAAAATAAATACTTTGGGTCAAACATTGCTGTACAACCCACAACACAAAAATACAGTTGTTTATACTAAGACAGACCGCGTGATAATCTAAGCTCATGGTTCCCAGACTTGCCCCAACTCCCGGGGAACATCTGGCAACCTCTGGGGCAGAGTTTCACTTGTCACATCAAGAGCGGTGCCACTGGAATCCGGGCAGTGGCGGCCGGCGATGCTGCAGTGTATCCTACGATGGAGACTGCAGCCTGACACAAAGAATCATTTGGCTCAAAACACAGCAGCACTGAGGCTGAGAAACCCTAACCTAAACCTACGATCACAGTGAAAAATGAAGGCAGCAAACATGGAAAACTCAAATCTGAGAATGTTGTTAAACCATTATCTGCATTTTTCCTCCAAACTACAGGAATTCCTAATGTATCTATCTAGTGATGGCTTCGCAAGTTATTTTTTTTTTTAATTTATTTTTTTGGGATGGAGTCTCTGTTGCCCAGGCTGAAGTGCAGTGGCACGATCTTGGCTCACTGCAACCTCCGCCTCCCAGGTTCAAGTGATTCTCCTGTCTCAGCCTCCCAAGTAGCTGGGACTACAGGCGCCTGCCACCAGGCCTGGCTAATTTTTGTGTTTTTAGTAAAGACGGGATTTTACCATATTGGTCAGGCTGCAAGTTGTTTATTAACAGCTAATTATCTTAGAATATTGAATGTAAGAGAGAGGAAATTAATATTGACCTTACCTTGTGAATATCATAATTAATAACTTCTTAGTACATTATTAAATACTTTGGTCATAATTCTGTAAGTTTTCATCTGTGTGTGTGTGTGTGTGTGCGTGTGTGTTTTGAGACAGTCTCACTCCATCTCCCAGGCTGGAGTGCAGTGGTGCAGTCCTGGCTCACTGCAACCTCCACCTCCCGAGTTCAAGTGATTCTCCTGCCTCAGCTTCCCCCGTAGCTGGGATTACAGGTGCCCACCACCACACCCAGCTAATTTTTAAAATTTTTCTTTTTAGTAGAGATTGAGTATCACCATGTTGACCAGGATGGTCTCCATCTCCTGACCTTGCGATCTGCCGGCCTCGGCCTCCCAGAGTGCTGGGATTACAGGCGTGAGCTCCCGCGCCCGGCCCAGCAGGGATTTTGGATGACCTTGCAAGGAGTCCAATTGTCAACGTTTATCATCTTTTGAACAACAAATTACAAATTCACCTTCATCTGTTCTCACCTTTCTTCTCTCCTGCAGTAAACCAATTTTTTCTCACCTTGTATTGCCTCCAAATTCCTGTAGGCTTTTACGAAATCCTAACCTAGAGATCAAGGCTTGGCAAACTTTTTCTGTAAAAAACTAGGTAGTTAATCTTTTAGACTTTATTACTCATACTGTCCCTCTTGAAACTAACTCTGCCGCTACAGTGCATACATGGCCAGGACAGTGCTTAAGTTAATGCGCGTGGCTCTACTCTTCCGATAAAACTATTTATAAAAACGGGCCACAGTTTGCCTGCCCCTGCTATAGGTGATTCCTTTTCTCTTCTCAATATTGAAACTATTCCTCAGTCAGGACCTTCTAAAATTAACTTTTAAAAAGCTAATGTAGGCCGGGGTAGGAGTTCGCTCCTGTAATCTGAGCACTTCACGAGGTCCAGGCAGGATGATCCCTGAGGCCAGAACTTTGCCACCGGCCTGGGCAACACAGGGAGACCCTGTCTCGAGATAAATTAGCTGGGCATGGTGACTTGCACCTGTGGTCCCAGCTACAGGGAGGAGCGAGGTGGGAGGATCGCTTGAGCTCAGAAGTTCGAGGCTGCAATGAGCTATATGATTGCAGCATTGCATTCTAGCCTGGGCAGCAGACTGAGATGTTGTCTCCAAAAGAAGAAAAACGTGTGACTGTATCCCTCCCCCCAACCTCGTTGTTTTTTGAGATGGGGTCTCCTGCTGTCACCCAGGCTGGAGTGTAGTGGGGTGATCTCAGCTCCCTGCAACCTCCACCTGCTGGGTTCAACTGATTCTCATGCCTCAGCCTCCTGAGTAGCTGGGACTATAGGCACACACCACCATGCCCGGCTTATATTTTTGTATTTTTAGTAGAGACAGGGTTTCACCATGTTGGCCAAACTGGTCTCGAACTCCTGACCTCAAATGGTCTGCCCTCCTTGGCCTCCCAAAGTGCTGGGATTGCAGGCATGAGCCACCGTGCCGGGCCTTTTACTGTACCTTTTCTACGTTTAGGTACACGGCACCATTGTGTTACAGTGTGCAGTACAGTAACCTGCTATACAGGTGTGTAGCCTGGAAGAGCAGCCTACCCTATATAGCCTAGGGGTGCAGCGGGCTGTGCCACTCAGGTATGTGCAAGACACTCTGATGTTTGTGCAAGGACATCACCTAAGGATGCATTTCTCAGAAGCTGGGGGCTACAAACATGACCGTGCTTCTAACCCATGAATCCAGTTGGTAAAAAGTGGTTCAGGAGAGGTGAAAAAACTCTGTAAATTATAATTGCTTGGGCCCTCCAAAAGAGCCCAGCCCATAAACATATATGTGGAAGTAAAATTTCTTTCCTTATTTCTTTCTTTTTTTTCTTTTTTTTCTTTTTTTTCTTTTTTTTTTTTTTTTTTTTTGAGGCAGAGTCTTGCTGTGTCACCCAGGCTGTAGTGCAGTGGCGAGATTTTGGCTCA